ATTATTATTATTATTTATTATTAATATTATTATTTAATTATTATTATTAATATTATTATTATTATTATTATTATTAATTATTATTATTATTATTATTATTATTATTATTATTATTATTATTTAATTATTATTATTATTATTTATTATTAATATTATTATTTAATTATTATTATTAATATTATTATTATTATTATTATTATTATTATTATCATCATCATCCATTGCTTAATAGATTACCTTGTGAGGCAAGCAACGCTAGGACTCGAGGAAGGCGAGTCAGCCGAGGGAACAGAAAAAAGTGGCAACAGGAAAAAGAATTTCTTGAAAAAGCTGGTAAATATATTTTCTGATATCAGCTTGAAAAGAAAATGAATGCTAAAAGGATAGCCCTATTCCTTTATTAAGTTAACTCTTTTTTATCTCGACACTTCGAAGGTTATTTAAAAAAAAAACCAAAAATTAAAAATCGTCTTGTTCATAGGCGAGACAATTTTTATACCTTGTTTGGTAAACCAATCGCCCGCCAATAATAATTATTTCGAATAAAAATAAAATTTTATTTTTGGACCATTATATAGCGCACCCGCCGCCCAGAAAAACGGAAATTTCAGAAAAAAAATACAAGTTCTTCTTTATTTTTATTATGCCTACCACTGACTTAAAATCTCCCAAAATCAGAATTCACTGTTTACAATCACCAATAATATTTTATTTTCATTTCCTCCTCCATAATATGGATGTTTTTGGCAAAAATATTTGCTACATACGAATTCAAAATTTTATTTATTATTTTATTTTTTCCGCCCCCCATATGACGATTTTTAAAAATATAATTTCGCGAAACAATGTATAAAAAAGTCTTTCCTTGCCACGAAATCCAAAAATTTTAATTTTTTTGGTACATTTGCATTTTTTTTTCTTCCCTGTTGTTAGCGCCTCGAGGTTGTGTCAACGTGAGGCGCTATATAAATCCAGAATTATTATTATGTTTTTATTCCTCACAAGGATTTTTCGCAAGCTTACGAATGCGATAACAAATACGGATACGTCATCAAATTTGTATACAAATCTTCGTCTACAATAGCATAGGCCTATCTGTCACAACGAAGGCGATTCATGCCTTTTGCGTGAGTCATGGATCATATATAGCTCTTACAGCATTGCCAAGAAGGTTTTAGGTACGAATGACGATAAATGATAATGATGTATTCGTATTTGTTATCGTTTTCGTAAGGTTGTGAAATCTCCCTAATACTTTACCACTGCTCGTCTGTTATTTTTCTCCAAAACATATCATGATAAAGTCTAAAAGCAGAGCAGACACACCGTTTTGAATGTTAGTGGCTGGATGGATTTATATTATGAGACACTTGTATATTTTTTAGAGTGGCAAGGACCGAGATCGTGAGTCAAGGATGGCATTAGCAACTGTACTGAGTAATCTCCCAACGAAAGAATTAGAGGACTTCGATTTTGTTGCATTTAAAGTGAGTATACCTGAATAATAAACAACGGTAACAATACAAATGCCTTATGCTCAATTGGCGATGAGCCAAAATGGGATGGATAGGCCTATATCCTAAACATAGTAACAAGCGCAAACGAACAATTCAGCTGCTGAATCCCGCTTCATGGATACGTTGCTAAAATGTCTGACAAACTGACAACGTAAAATGACGTAAACATTGTGTGTTTGTGGGTCATGCGCGTATTTTTAGTCCTGTTTTGATTAACCAGTTGTTAAATTTGATTGAATTGTTTAATTATATTGGATTGGATATCTTCAGTGCGATACACACTAATGATAATCCACTAAGTCCGAAGACTTAGCCACTAAGTCCAAATACATATAATATGTCCTTATAAATGGGGTAATAATTTTATGTTTAACATATCTTAACATTCATTTGGATAGAAATTCAATTATCGGAAATGAGTTTGACATTATAATACGGGGAGTTATGTTTGTAATTTCATAAATGTTACTGTACATTTACAACAGTTGTCTTGGGGATTTGGTGGAGTGTTATAAACTGGGGGAGTGGGTAGCTCGTGTATATTTGATCAAAAAACACTCGAAGCATGATAAGGTGTGCCCTTAAAATGTGTTTGATAAATTCACTACTTAGGCTATATTTCTTCACCAACACCCACTCACGTAATATTGTGTTTTTGCGAGACTCGAAAACATGGATAGGCAAAATTCCCCCATAGATTAGTAACGCCTCTGTAACATCATGAATAGTTTTCAAAACAGATTAATTTTAATAGAGTTTGTTATTGGAAAGTTTGATAGAAGTGAGTTCGGGTCATCGTAAATTTCCCCCCAAATCTCTGGATTTCTAGCTGCTTATCGAACGTTAAATGTCAATGTTTGCATATTGGTACAATTCGACCAGGGATCTACCTGCATCCGTTTCCGAGTCATGAAACTCGTACCCCCATTGTGCTTAGGTGTAAATGTTTACAATCTCAAAACAGTCTTCGATTGTTTTACAGTTAGAAAACCAATTACAGCATAAAAATCAAATACATATCACTTTGTCTCTTATACACATCTAGATGTGTATAAGAGACAGGTTTACAAAGAGACAGGTGTTAATGCGTGCATTTCAAATTACAAGCAAATTCGGGGCAAAACCCCATCTAATTCACATCTCCGTGAACTTATCATGCTGATTCTGGCCAATAATAACTTTGTTTTCGGCGACGGTCATTACCTTCAAATTCATGGCACAGCGATGGGCACCAAAATGGCTCCATCTTTTGCTAACTTATTTATGGGACAAATTGATGCCAATTTCCTGTCCCTACAGCCCAAGAAACCAGATGTTTGGTTTCGTTACATTGATGATATCTTCATGATCTGGACCCATGGTGAAGATAGTTTGGATACGTTCCTATTGAACATTAATTCGGCTTATCCCACAATCAAATTCACTGCTAACAAATCCGCAAGAAGTGTAGATTTTTTGGGCATCACAGTGACCATGGAAAATGGTGCACTTAAAACTGATCTCTTCCGTAAATCCATGGATAAGCTTATGTACCTGCTCCCTAGCAGCTGTCATCCCCCGCACTGTACAAAAAACATTCCGTACAGCCAAGCATTGCGCCTGAGACGCATTTGTTCTTCGGATTTAGATTTTCAGAATCGAACAGAGGAACTATCCGGACATCTCCGGAATAGAAATTATCATCGAGGACCCATCGAAAATGCTATAAAAAAAAAGCAAAGGACATACCTCGTGCTCAAAACACTGACGTACAAACCACGTCAACCATCGACCAGAGTGCCACTGGTCACTACCTATCACCCTAGGTTACCACCACTAAGGGCTATAATTCAGAAACATATGCCCATTCTACAAACCACAGAACGTCTTAGGTCTATTTTATCGGATCAGCTATCAGAACATCAAAGCTTGATCAACCAGTAGCCGAACATTTCAATTTCAATAAAGTTTATTTAATCTCACCCAGCCTATTGTTTCCAATCATGCTTGCATGAAATTCTCACTTTATACTATCTGGCTTTTTCTACCCTCACTCACTCGCCACTGAGGAAGGACTAGTGTTGTCCGAAAGGTAGACTCTGATCAAATAATGTCTTTTAAATATGAGAGTTACAAATCTGATTGCTAATGTCGGGTATGTAATCAACACTATTAACACTATAACCTTTATCTGTCAAAGGCTAACAGTCAATATTTGATCAGAAATTGCCTGATATCAGTGCTCGCTCCGGATATATCTGATAAAATTAAGTGTCTATTACCTAATGTCATCAGACCGAGACTAATCAAACAGTCTTTTTTTTGGCTCAAATCTCCTAGTTTATGCCCGGATTAACATCAATATAATTTTCATCATGTCTTTAATAGGATTCTCATTGGAGCGATCTCATTAATGTTACCATTCCTGAGGGCGCTGTTCCGCTATCGCCAACAACCTCTGATGCAGAAATAAAAAGACGGGACCACGTCTGGGAAGTCTTTACCAGTGAATGCAGCTATCTTGTTGACCACCTTCTTGTCTTAAGAGATGTGAGTTTGTTACAAACTT